TTAAATATTCAAATAGCTTAACTGATCTCGTATTGAGTTGAGACATCTACAATTAAGTTAAATAGACTGAGACATATACTTCACCAAAATTCCTTGAAAAGAAAATTTAAAATTAGTTTAATATTGCATCAAAATATAATATTTTAACTTCCACCGACGATACAATTCATTGCAAGAATCATTCCCATTTATCGGATCGGATATTAACTCAAATTATTTTTCTTTATGTGGCAAACTTGTACTATCAGTAAAATAAAATTATCAAAATCGTACTATTTTATAAGTAAAAAAAATAACCTACTATCTAGAAGGTGCTCGCATAAAAAGTAAACCTTAATAAAGTACGATACTAGTAACATAGAGCTCCATACCTTTATTTGCAACCAAGACGTATAATATATATACAGATTATACGCGCCAGCAATATTGCATTTTAAAATGGCACAAGTAGTCCGCGCCCCAACTTCCCTTGTCAACAGCCGCCAATAGAGCGCACTAAAGTAGTCTCTTTTACTCTCATTCATAAAGCAGATCACATCTCGCTTAGAGTTGAGGCATAAATATCGGATTAGGTAGTATTTTTCGATACTAGGCGATACCTAATCCAAGGCGTCAAATACTTCAAGTAATAGGTATCACATAAAATATTTGAATGCCAAAGGAAATGTTGCAACAAACGCCATCGAGGATACTATTTGATCGTTACTTGTTTGATCATTAAGTAAGATGTGATGAGTAAGTACATCGCTACGCTAGATAGGTGGCGTTGTTCGACGATTTATTTATTTATTTGAATATAGTTCCTGTGTAATTTGTGTACTATCTTAAAATACACAAAAGGTTTTTTCTCTGGATAAAACATAAAATATAACGTTGTAGCGAAGTGTAGCCGCGGCGAGAGAACGTGTCCGACTCAATGTAAGTTGGGCAATTACCTGACTTTCGTATTGCCAAACTATAAGCGTGTATTTCGTATCTATAACCTTAAAACATCATCATCATCCCTAATATTTTTAACCTCAATCCTTTTATTACTGGGACAATGAAAATCTACCATGTACAGTCAACATGAAGTACTTTTTTTATTATACAAAAATGGTACTAATATAGAAATAAGAATGCAATAATCATATTGCAGTAAGCGTGCTGAACTTTACACCTCACGTTTTTCTAATTCCGCAGACCAGAAACTAAGCACGTTTCAGACTAGACAGAAGTGTTAAATTTAAGTGTGTTAAAACCAACGATATAATATCGTTATTTAAAACAGTTAAAAGTGGGTTGTTATTTTTTTCCACTATCCCATGGTGAGAGGCATTTCTGCACACTGCATAAGTCTTTCAAAAATATTGATTGGGATTCAAGAATTGTACCGACACCAATTTTTGAATGAAGGCACCGTTTGTAAAATATTAAGCTTCTAAGTGTAACTCTCTCTGAATTTAAAAGTCAAACTTTCTCAGTTATATATTCACGATAATTTTACAAGAAACAATTGGAAAAGTAAAAGTTTCATTCATATACTATGGAAGAGTTTAATTGCACGAATTCAAAACTACCTTTATAATGAGGAACAAAAATTTATATAACAGAAACACACTAGCACGTAGGTACGTGGCCGAGTTGCTAACAGAATTTCGGTTAATTGCTTTACGTTCACTTTACGCTGAACATATAAACCTCAACTCACAGAGATGAAGCGACGCGATGCGCCATGTTTTTCGGTTATTTTGCCTGTAGCAAATTCATCTCTTGTTTCCCAACATTAAGGTATTCCCGCTATTAACGACGCACGTCGACCTGGTTTCATGTTTTTCGCCTGTAACCAATTCACCTTTATTTTCTCACTATTAAAGTATTTCTACTATTAACAACTCGCGTCGACCAGGTTTAATGTTTTTCGTCTGTAACAAAGTCATCTCAATTATCCCACCATTAAGGTTTTCCCATTATTAACAACGCGCGTCGACCAGGTTTCAAGTTTTTTGTCTGTAACTCTCTGTTCCACTATTAATATTTCCAAGGCAAAAAATATGACGCGTCGCGTCGCTTCGACTCTGCGCTAGTGTGTACTAAGCCTAGGGTTGACCGGTGTAACTATTTAATGAAGCACTTGTTCACCGTACTAACATTAACACAAAGAGTATTTTCCCCTCAAGTTTTTAGACGTTTTGCAAATTTAACTGTGCGTAATGAGAACTGCATATGTGCAAATTTTAGTCAGAACGTTATTGATCAATTCCGTCATTCCAGAGTATTGTAGTACATACGAAAAAAAATACTACAAACTGCAATACTTCGGTAGAGAAATGTATTGAAATCAAAAAGTATTTTATAGTTATTCATAGTTGTACTGTTTACTTTAGCAGTGCATTGTACTTTTCTTTACGCATGTAGTGCTATTCTGTAAGAAACAATCACTTTTCGCCGCAAAACCCGCATATAATTTGAAATTAGAACACCAATTTCAATCAAATTCGTTTTCGAATTTTAAATAACACGCGGACTCCGCTGCGGAAAATTAGTTTGTTCTTATATAATAGTGCTATTCTTATTATTCAGTGCTGATAAGTTTCGAATATTCTAACTTGACCGCTAAACTATGTTAATTTTGTAACTTGGTATAAATAAATATATTTATAAGAAGCTGTATTCAATTGCTAACTTGTAGCCACAAAAGTTCTTTTCTAGTACTTTTCATATTTTTTATTAAAATATAGCTCTGGTTTTCCACGCAAAAAAAATAGATTCAAAAGTATTATTCTCAATAACGTTGCAAACAACTGCGAGCGGAGCGCTATAAATCAATGCAACATTTTATAACCGACAACGTATGGATCTCACGGGGACTGAGATTACTTAAACTCATAAATCTTTCAAACGAAACCACACCACATTTTACGCTGAGAGTGCTATGTACTGTCTTTATACAATACCGTAATGTAAGTAAGTGCAATAATACGTATACAACAGCTGATAACTGTATTATAAAATTTTATAAATGCAAAAAAATATCCAAGATGAATCATGAAAAGAATAGCGTTGTGTTCAAAATGCTCGATAGTTTTATATTTTATCATCATCATCATAATCAGCCGATTGACGTTCACTGCTGGACATGGGCCTCCTCTAAGGATTTCCTTACTCAACGGTCGTGCGCTTTTCGCATCCAGTGGGATCCCCCCAACTCGCTTGATGACGTCAGTCCACCTGGTGAGGGGTCTACCGATACTGCGCTTCCCGGTGCAAGGTTACCAGTGAAGCAAGTTGAGATTCCAACATTCATCGGTTCGCCAAACTTCAGCTTGGCAATCCGTTGAGCTATGTCACTCTAGTTCTTCTACTGATTTCCTCTTTCCCGATTCCATCACGTAGAGAAACACCAAGCATATATGTCTGTCTACCGCTCGCTGTGCCACTCTGAGCCTTTTTATGGGGCCCATTGTCAACGACCACGCCTCGGTTCCGTATGTCACCACTGGCAATACGCACTGTTCGAAGACCTTGATCTTCAGGGACTGAGGTATTTCAGACGAGTTTTATAGTAACAGCAATAGATCCTTGTCCTAAATGTTAACTATCGAATAAGTACTAACAGTTTTATTATAAACAAAGCACTGAAAATATAATCTGTCACACTTTACGTGCAACACAAAAGTTATTCGCACTTATTTATTTACAACTAGCTTCCGCCTGCGACTCTGTCCTCGTCAACTTTAGTTTCGAGCAACTTTCTTGCCTTTTTCTTAAGCGCCTTATATGATGGGTAAAATGTGTCCAATGAAAATGGGGATTCATTTTTATAAATAGAAAATATTGAAAAATTATTCTCCCACATTACCTAGATAAGGAAGGGTGTATTACTCTGACTTTACCATTCCAATGAAACATCCCTTCTCGTACATCTACGGACCACTAATTTCCAACGTTTTCTTCGACATTTTGTGGCTTTTCAATAAGATTTCCGAGCGATCGATCGCGAGCGAGCAATCTGCCGCCGCTTTTACGAATGGTTAACCTCGGCCCTCGTAGCCGGCATATAGGGGAACGGGGGCATATTGTTACCCGTTTTAGAAAATAAAAGTAACTGTGCGATGTGCTTGAACATTAAAAAAAAGTTATTGTGGGCTATCTGACAGATGTGAAAAATTATTTCTCATTATTCAAGGTGAAAAGCAAGCAAAAGAAATTGAACTTAAAAAAGTAAGCCATCGCGGCACTTCTGATAAATTGAATAGGAAACACTTCACTGACAAGCTTTAAATAAATGTAACATTTTAAACAATGACCTTCTTTGAATGAAAGACATTGATTTTAAATATTACAAAGGTTTTAATAGAAGAGGAATGAAAGAGCTGATTTGTAGACAAAAAGTGTTTAAAAATGTTTAAAGTGAACATCGACGAGAATGTTCAGGAACCAAATTGGTGACATTTTAACTGAGGGCACGTGGAATTATTTAATCCCGTGAAAACCCCTAGCGTTAGTGGAATACGTAATGAGTGTTACAGGTCGCACACATATAAATGATCATTAAGTGATCTTGAAGGAAAAAATGTATTTTTTATTCTCAAAACTTCTATTTATTACATTAAATGCCTATTATAATTAGACCAAAATGCAAAATATCATGTAGGAGATTAAAAAATCAACTCAAATAAGGTGTAACAAGTGTTACAACATTTTGCCTATTGAACTTTATGTAGGTTCCAATGAACGCAAAACTCTGCTAATTTAGGTAAATAAATGTAATCAAAGTTACATTAACTGAATAATATTGAAATTGGGTCGTCTGACCGTTAACGATAGGCTATCTGTCTCTTGCAGAGAGTTAGAAAATTACGGATACCTTTCGTTTCATTGAGTTTCAAATAACAACGGTGCTTTAACACTTCTTTAGAAGTTTTCACTTCAGAAATAGATATCCACATCAAATCATAATCTCTCGTTTTTACTTCACCGTAGTCCGATAAAAATAACATTGTTTTTTTCTTTGTTTCAGAGCAATAAGGGGGACTAAAAGCACTCAACACATAATCCTCATAGCCGTTGTGAAGAAAAGGTAAGTTTTACTTTTCAATTGATATAGTGCCGAAAATTATTACATCTAAGAAAATATTGAATCAACCCGGCCTAGGTTAAAATCTTGAAATCTCCTTTTTATCCCGAACCGGACACTAAAATATAATCTTTGGAGTGTACTATTTGACCCTCAGATTCGTCCAGATTAAGTCTATTTCATTAGAGTTAATTACCTCGTAGGTAATAACTACTTCTCTTGGTATGATGGTTTTTCTTCTATCATTCGTCAAATTCATAGGATTTTTGGAATAATTTCTGCACATTTAGTAATAATGCTATTGATTATATAATTATAACAAAGACGCGTTCTGTGTTTAAACAAGTTTATACTTTGAATACTTTATTTCCTATATTTCCATATCCAGAAGGTCATAACGGAATTCTTATACACTTAGTGACAACAAATTCAGGTCAGATACAATTAAAAATTTCTAAAAATTTGGATTTCCCTTGATTCCCATGTTTGTTAACTGAGACAGATTGTGTGATAATATTATCACTAAAATAAATTATCTATTTTTATCACATTATTTTATTACATGAATAAAATATTCATAAACAGCTCGCGAAATTTTTACATGAACTTTGAAGGAACAAAATATTTAATAAGGCTTTACGAAAGAAATATCCTTATTTGTTTCTTCGAAAAAAAAATAACACGTACAAATCGTATCGTTAACAGTTCCATGATAGAACTTTCGTGATTTTTCGTCTCCAACAATATTTCACTTAAAGATAGCAGCTTAACATACACTTCTTGTCTTTTGTACGAAGTTGGCGACTTACTTAAAACTTCCTCCGCTTTTCCATTGAAAATTCATAAAGGATTTATAAAACTTTCTCGGCAGATGTACAATAATTATTTTTGGACATCTTGATTCCCGTAGGTATTTTCTTGTGTTGTGACATGTCAACTGTGTATATACAAACAGTTAACTTATTTGATAAACTTAACGAACTCTCCTTACAGTCTTTACAATACCAATGATAAATTTTAACGAACCTTGTTTTTCACTTTGACAAAGTTTCATTTGATCAGTTACATATTTGCAATATTTACAAACATATTATCATGGCAGAAGTTAAAAAGCATAATCATAATCGGATGGAAAGTAAAATTCTTAAGACGAAGTAAATTGTGCTCTCTCTGAGAAGTCCTTCACTAGTTTACGGTAAATAATTTAAAACTAAACTCTAGTAAAACAAAATGTGTTAAGTTTACTCTACGTAATGTGAGGCAGGTTAATACTAATATAAAAATAAATGACCAGACTGTAGAGTAAGTGGATTCTACAAAGTTTCTGGGTATTACTTTAGACTTGCATCTGCAATGGGATCCTCATATTGATGCCTTATCAAGTAGACTGAGCTATCAAGTAGACTCTTAACTAATGTGGAAACGGCAAGATTGGTTTACTTTGGTTACTCTAATAGCGTTATGTCATATGTTCTTTTACTGTGGGGCTCAGCTGCTAATATCGAAAGTATTTTCATACTGCAAAACAGAGGTGTTCGCGCCATATATAATTTAAAGGCAAGAGAATCTCTTAGAGAAAAATTTAAACAAATTAATATTGTAACACTGGCCTCGCAATACATTTATGAAAATATAATATATGTAAGAAATAACTATGACGCATTTGCAAAAAAAAGTCAAGCCCATAACTTTAACACCAGATTTAAGAACAAGCTTGCCGTTCCATGTTTCAGACACCACAAATCAAGAGGTTCATTTCTGGAATTTAGTATTGCATTGTTTAACAAAGTTCCTCAAGATCTGATTGAGCTTCCACTAATCAAATTTAAATCTCAGATCAAGAATACTCTTATGAATAAGGACTTTTATAAAGTTAATGATTATCTAAATAATCTTAATGCATGGACATAATGTTTCTTGTAGTTTGTTATTTGATGGGTATTAGTCAGTTTTTATAACTGTAATATAGTACCTATACTATCTAATGCCGCTTCCTATATACTTAATATAAAATTTATTGTAACTATATATCTATATCCTAAATGATGTAATGGAAGGTGACTTCAGAAGTATCTCTGGAGTCATCTTTCAACTTGACGACTCTGTATATATCAATACAGAGGCAGCCCTTGCTGAGTTTCTTGCCGATTCTTCTCAGTACAAGGTCTCCCGCCGTAATTTTGCGAACCGATGGCGTAGTTTTTTGACCTGCACAAGTGCTTGTAACAGCCTAGACTGAATAAATGAATTTTCATTTCATTTTCACTTCATTTCATTTCTGTTACCAAAAATCATGGTCATTAGCAGTTATTACATAATGCCTTTTATAATGTAGTCAATACTTGTCCAGCAAAAAACTAGTCATTTTGGCAGCATGCAACTAGACAAGTGGCAGAACGTTTAAAGTAGGTATCAAAACAAAGTATAAATTTAAAAAGCCCGAGTCGGCCTCGTTCTATAAGTTCGAGTTCCGTATAAATCGTTTTTTTAAACGAAGGCAACATTGCATATATAACATATGAATTATCGTGGCTTTATCAAATACTTATTTTGAATTATTAGCCACAAACAAATATTTATTTTATATCAATTAGCTCAAAGCTGTATGTATAACGATTGAGAAGATTTAAAATGAGAAGAACAAAAAGATTCTTCTGGAAGTATCATAAAACAAGAAAATCCTTTAAAAGCTGTATATTGTAAGTTAACTTGAAACGTGGGAAGTAGCCGAGCGAACAGACGCTACTTTATCCACCTGCTTTTAAAAATAAGTACAGTAAAGCTATCCATTCAAGTATAGAGAAGTTCAGCTGAGTACTTTATAAACTGCAGCAAACAAAAAGCAAGCAAGCAAAAGCAAACAACGAGCGTGGTTCACGTCCAATCGCATAATGTAGAATAGTGGAATTTCTCATTTAACTAGCGCGCTCTCTACTTATTTAATTAAACTAAAGGTAAACCTAAATAAGCAAAACCTGTTCATTAGTAAAATTTCATTGTTTTCTTTTTTATAAAAAATCTCACCGTAGAAGTGTGATTGTGCTTTGTAATGAAATGAAACCAAATGAAGTAAGATTTTTTGTCGTCTGTAAATAAATATTTCATTAGAGGTAGTAACAGTTTTTGCCATCCCATATTATATAGTAATATAATATATGTAACTAGACTTTTTCCACAACTTTGACCGTGTGTACTAAAGAATTAAAAAAATCTTAAATGTACATAGATATTCTATGAAATCCATCTAATCCATGACCAATTAGTGAGAAAATGCTGTAGGAAATGGTGCCTGCCAATTATGGACGTACAAGCTATCACAATTGATATCTGGCATCAACTTAATTTAACGAATATAAACTTTAGTCATTGACTTTTGGCAAATAGTTAAGAAAAATAAATTAATGTACGATCAAAAAAAAAATTGGTGACCCACTTGCTAGATTAGTCGCCTATAAATATCAAAACAGACAAGTTTTTCTTTGCAGAAAATGGATTATTGCACTTAAGACCTTACTTAAAATTTGACTTTTATTTTCATTGGAATAGATCATGTTAAATAAATTTGGAATAGGAGTTTGAATTTCGAAAACACTTTTAAAAATATAAATGTACCAGAAACTCTTTCGATTTCTTTACATTATATCAAAAAATTGGAAACTTATAGGACAATCCTTATTTTATGGACAAAACTTCAAACTCTGTCACGTCTAATATGCTTGTTCAGAAAATAACAAGTTTGTTTCCAGGGAACGGTAAACTTAAGCAAAAATCTTCCATTATCTGCTTTTTTGATATGGTTGTAAGAAAATAAGAGTGAGTCAGGAATCAAATTGGCTGATAGTACATTATTAATGATAACGTACAAAATTATTAATAATAACGATAGAAATAAACCTATGAATAACAATTTTACGATAGAAAGATATACGATAATGACCTTTACGGTCTTTTATAATAATGACAGTTAAAAGAATCATTATAAATGTTTAATATCATATTTTCTGAATAATGACTAATATACGAACAAGCTTAATCTCAATAAATACTTTAAATATAACTCGGTGGCAAATCCAATCATACTTCGCTACGAGCTCGTGGTGTCGTATTACGTAGCAATTCCCCGTAGCAGTAATCGGAGCGAGCTTGGCGCTACGATTTCATACTTAAAACCGTATAAAATGGGGCACTATAAAAGTTTCAAATATACATGCATAAAGTTTTATTTTTTTCATGCAAATAGGTATTTCGTAAATTAGGCGCTGGCGAACAAAATGGTATAATTACACAAAATTAAATTTTACAGAAGCTATATAAAACTGAATGGCATACCTACAATGAGGTTTGGCATGGTTTTTAATTTATAAATTTAGTACTTTTAACACTTGAAAGTTCAAATTCATCGGGCCCAATACCTCCAGACTGTAAAAAAAAGTAGTTTGACCAGATTCGTAATTATGCCGTTTTGTTCGCCAGCTTCTCAATTGTTGGTTAATTTAATACTTAATTCTGTCCAATACCAATATAAATAGCCCTTTATTTTTAAAGTTTATTTAATTTTTGTCATTAGTTATGATAGCGGCCGTGGTTACACTCATACTATGTAATTTTCAGGTAGGTAACTCTTCGTGTAAGAAATTAAACCCTGTAAGAGACGGACAAACAAACTGCGTACTATATTATTAGGGTTCCGTCTGCCTATAATAACTATTCTCGTGTTCATAAAAAGGATCCTCGAGAGGCTTTTTAAAAATTCAATGTTAAACTACAAAAACCACTCAAATTAATCACATACTTAACCGCAGTAGACAATAAAATAATATTTTTTTCAGTTCGAGTCCCGTCTGCTGCCTGGTCCGCGTGGAATTTTTTCTAGTATTTTTTTCTTTAAATTATAACTATTTCTTTCAGTTTTCAACTTGAAAACTCTTTGGAATTGGTACTTACTAATGCAAGTTTTCTCGTTTACTTTCAAACTTCCTGGAAGTGGTACTAATGCAAGTTTT